ACGATCCGCAGATTGCAAGTCGAGCATCCTAACCACCTGGCCATGCTGGGCCCAGATCAAAGAATATCAATTTTTGTTCTACAGCTCTGAATTTAATGGCTTAAAATTAAGACACGTTCTAACACATTTTCTAATCTTGAGCTTAAATATTTCTATTAAACAAAGAGTTTAGTAACTATAAATGTGGTTAAACTTTCTCTCTATTAATATAGTGTTTCAAAATGGTCTAATTGAATGGTCAAATTTATGAATTTAGGTATAATACATCACTGAGTAATTGGTTTACTCGCTTAGAAATTGTTTTTACTTCCAACAAATAGTTCTGTAATTCTTTGACATTACCTTTATCAGATTTCAATTACTTTGACATATTCTTTTTTTAGAAAGATTATGTTGGCTGGTTTATAAATATTATTAACATCAAAAGTACAGTTATCTTTAATCCAAACTACCAGTAAGGAAACATTAATCAATTTTGAGAGAACAAAATGAGAACCTAAGATGACAGAATAAAAAATTCTTTCTTTTATAACCGATAGATCATAATTAGAATAATTATTTTGAAAAAGCATTACAATAACATTGTTACTTGGGTCTATGATTAAGATTATGTTAGAATCAACCAGTTTTCGATGACTTGAATCACGGACTTGGTCAAATCCTCCTTCACAAGGAGTAAATTACTGAAGTATTTATTGAAGGAATTGGGAGGGAAGTTTCTTCGTAACATGTATGTATATATAATCAGATAGACTACACATTGGTACGTTACACGGTATGCCTAAATTCATCAGCTTCTCTATCCGATCAGACCTTTAAATCATAAATTAGTTGATTTTTCATAGGGTTTCTACTTACAAATGGATACGAATTCTCCGTCACAAGACTGTAGTCTAACCAACAAATACTTAGTGCCACTTTTGATATTGAACTTCTGTATACCAACTTAGCTTTAATTAAAATAGGTAAAGTTTACCTAGACTGTGTGCAGGAATCTCTCCATACCCCGATTTCTTATCAGTAGAGTCTTGCTGTTTATAGGCATATCGATAAGGGCCCTGTGACTGGGTTGAGTATGGCAACTGACGACTCTGAAACCTTGAATCATACTCTTCTCGATTTCTTCTTCGTAAGTCATCGTAAGATGTAAAACTTTTGGGAGACAATGAGACTTCTTCTTCAGATGGTGTTATTGTCCCTATTAAATGTGGATATTTAAATTTTCTATGCTTTATAAAGATAAACTTATCAATTATAAATATCTACTGAATTCTTCAGTTTCTTATAATTGCTCTTTTAAAAGATATACTGAAAAAAAAACTAAATCTCAATAATAACTAAGAATACTAACTTCCAGGTAAAGAAAAATTCTTTATTCTACAAAACTGAATTTGTTGAGCTAAATGGGTCTTGCCATTTATCACATTTTTCTTACTAACACTACTCCGATTTCAGGCATCTATTCTTGTGATTGATAGAACATTTTCTGTCAATGAAACAAATAACATAAATCGATGTCAATATCAGTTTTTCGTTGTTGTTGTTTTTTTTTACTGCTAGTACTGATATTACAACTGAGCCAAATTTGGAGGGATTATGCAGATAAAATTGGAATCAAAACTGCCTTAACTTTATTGTAAAAAATTTATACGAACCATTCAAGAATATGCATTAAAAGTTTTATTAATCTCAAATGTTACTTCTCTGTAATGCCACACTGAATTCAAACCTTTCTTTCTGTAAAATGCAAAAAGTATAAGATATTCAATCCAATCTTTACTTTTGTGTTTGAAAATACAACTGTTAGAAAGCTGAGGCTGAAAAAGTATTTAAACAATATTCAACAGATTGTACAATATTGTGTCCACTGTGGTTTACATTTCAAAATATTAGCTATAGTAAGGAAACACAGCATTCTTCACTGAACTACAATCAGTCCTTTGTAGTTGACTTACTAATATTTGAGCAATTTTGCAAAGAAGATCTTTCCTTAGTCTAGCTTTTTCCAGCCTGATTTCTTATGCAACTTCTATAATTGAATTCTTAAAAATGAGTAACACAAGTCATGTGTAAATATATTTAAATAGGCATGCATAGTTTAGTTCAATTGAATGTGTTAATTATAACA